AAATATATATAGAACATTTCCTAGCTTGTCTCCTAAACAGTTAGGAAAGTATCTTTTTAGTCCATTTCTATGTATTTCATATATACGAAATACATATATACTGTCTTTAGTGTAAACTCTCTCTAGCATAAATCTTATCATCCCATAATCATTGTTCTATAACTCGTATTTTTATGTTGAACATTGTATCTAAAGAGTCACATTTCTTAATCTTTCCTTCATGTTTTCGGGATTTTGCGTCTTATTTTAGAAGCTCTTCCCCACTCCATGGATTTTAAATGTTCATCCATGGAAGGATTTAGGAAATGATTGATGGCCTGCTGGCCCAGAGGTGGGCTAAAGAGAGTGACTGTCTTGGTCAGGGGACTGAGCCATTGCTTCTTTGGCCTCCCATAGGTGCTCCTTTGAGCTCCAGCTCTCCTTGGCCCCTCCCACTTCCTGCCCAGGGTTGTCCTCACTGCTGCTTCTCACTCTCCTTTCTGCTTCTCAGGGGACTACAGTGGTGTCCAGGTAAGTGGAAGGGGCCCATGGAGGGGTCAGGGGAGACACTAAGAATGTTTGTCTTTTTGATGTCTGACAGGGTCAGGGTGTGGGCAGTGTCTAAATGTGAGAGTACAAGCACTAAGAATGAAAAATGACCTCTAATTTTATACTAATTCAGTTCAGTAGAGTCAGGGGAAAATTGTTTTTGGTGCTTTGGAAAATTGATCAAGCATCAGTTAATAGTCAGAAGTGGTCAATGACCTAAATCTACCTTATCTTCAAGATCAAAGGAAAAACAACAAAATTTGCCAAGAAGTTGTGGTTAATTTTTTTTAAATAGGCTTTATTTTTTAGAGCAGTTTTAGTTCACAGTAAAATTGAGCAGAAGATATGCAGCTAATTTTTTAACATTCAGGGCCCAATTCTCTAGTATGTATATTAGCGAAATTCTTTTTCTTCCTTCTGCTTTCTATTACATTGCCCACATCCAACTCCCCATACTGATTTTTGGCCCTTTCTCTAGCACTTAAGAGGGATAGGGAAAAAAAAAAAAAAAAAATTCAATTCCTTTTTTTTTTTTTTTTAACTCACAATAGAGTCACATCTTATGTGAGGAGTTAGGCTCCAAAGGGATATTACAAGGTTAAAATCATATCCAGTCAAAATTAGTCTTCCAAATTTCTTAAATGGTTCATAAGACCTGAGATACACCCAGTTTTTGTTGTTGTTATTGTTGTTTTTAGAATGTTTCTTTAGTTGTTAAGTGGTTAAGAGGTTGCATATTATAACTGTAATCCATATTACAATTACAATTATACTTTAGTACTTTCTGATTTTTTCCCAAGGATTCATTGTAATTTAAAACTAAAATTTCGGATGTGTAAAAAGAAAATGAGTATTGATAATTCTCTGCCAAGCAAAAATTTTGATCTGTCCTTAGTTTTTTGCCAAGGGTGATAGACCAAATTTGGTCTATCATGTAATTTATAGGGGGAAAACAATCTGTATTACTATGAGTTCACAAAAGGTAAGTTAGAAAAATTAGTTGTAATAATGAGTCTTCTTCAAACAAAATGCTCATTATTTTACATCCTTAAGATGTTGCCTTTTCAGATTTTTTTTTTTTCCAGAAGGTCATGAACATAACCTGAGCAGGGAGGATTTAATTTTATCACTGTTTGAGCTCTCTGAGAAAGGATGTGATATAAGCCCGATTTTTAAGGGAACTGCCTGATATTTTACAGCACTATTTTTTCAAAGTGCTTTATACTCAAGCCAGGCTGAGGGCAGTTGGTCAGGTAATTCACTAAACCGTTTTCAGATAGCAAGTTATTTAACGTGTAGGTAACAGAAGATTGTGTTTCCAGGGTCTGTTTTCCTCCCAGCTTGGGTCTCTGATGTTACCCCACCTCTTCCACTTCAAGGTTCTCACCCCAGCACATGCTGAAACTTGCTTTGACAAAAATTACTTCCTTGTGGCTTTGAGAGTCATGTATTTGAGCTGTAAATAAAGTGTCATGCCTAGGGTCAAGCAGCTGGTCACCCAGGTAGAATGGACAACTACCCTGACTCATGTTCACCTGTTCCAAGTTATATCATAGCACAAAACAATACTTAACAAGTTCCTACAAGGCCAACAAAGGAAGCAATGCTGCGATGTGTCATTGTCACAGAGTTTGGGGGATATTTTTGGTTAATTTTTCCATTGTGGAGTTTTTAGGGTGGTGATGGCAGTTGTGTGGTGGTTGTTATTTGGCAAGAATTGAAATTGGAGGCTCTGTCATCCTGATTGCTTATTCCAACAAACGATATAAACAAGAGCATGTTTGTAGGAAAGAACCCTGGGCAGGGACAGCATTTTCTTTTTAATCTCTTGATCAGTATCAAGTTGTGCATATTTGGAGAAGAGAGAAAAGAGAGGCAAAAGGAGACACATACAGTTTATACAGATCACCAGCTAAGTTTGGTTAGTTTGGTTTAAATAACTAACACTTATTAAGTGCTTACTGTGTACACCACTAAGCATACCTCACTTCATCCTCACAATAACCCAATGAGATAGCTATCATTGTTCTCTCCATTGACCAAGATCTCGTGGGTAGTAAATGTCAGAGCCAGAGTTTGAACCCCAGAGAAGTCCTTCCATGTTGTAACCACTGAACAACTGGCTTTCTACGCTTCTTTAAAATATTGCTTTTTTTGTTTTTCTAGAATGATGGTGGCCAATTTGCCTCCACAATCCAGACATGATTTCGGTACTAAACAGAAATACTTCAGTCTATACAAAATTCACTTAACCTTCCTGCTTGGAACTATCTCCCAAGTAATACTGTACCAATTTACACCTGGCAGAAGACATGGTTTTGGTGTGCGTGGTTGGGGGAAGCTTGTTTCTGTACACCCTGAAGCACGCCCACAAGAGCTGAACAGAAGGCCTGACCGCACAGAGCTTCCTGGGACTGGTTATTTACATTAACCAATGTTGAAACCTCTCCCAGAGATAGGTGCTGCCAAGAACACTAGAGGAAGTAAGACGCTTTTATCTTACGCATGCACACGAAGTCTTCAGACAGCCTGGGTGGGTGTAACTCTCAGGAGCTAATCGCCCCGTCCAGGTGCAAATCTGGACCCGTGTTTGCGTGGAGGCGTAGACACAAACGAAGATGACGCGGCTAGTCGCTGATGTGCGTGGGAAAGCCCACTAGCAACGTTGTTAGTGCGGTTGTCTCTGTAAGTGTGGACAGTGTGAGGGTGGGCACCGAGTCTGGATTGCGCCGTCTAGATAAGGGGTGTGCCAGCACTAAATGTTCCACGGGCGGCCGGGAGCTTACGACATACTCCACGCTGGTGGGCCCCTAGGGCCCAAGGTATCCGTCCAGCGCTCCACTAGCTCGGCTGGCGGCCTCGCCCCGCCCCCAGCGCCCCGACAGGCCCCGCCCCCAACGCCCGGAGCTCCGGGCGGCGCGGCTGCCCCAGTTCCGTAAACACTTCTCTCCCCGCCCCTAGCAGTCCCGGACCGCACCACTCGCAGCGCGCGGGGGAACCGTTCCCTTTCGCATCCCAAACACTCTCCAATCCAAGCTTTCCTCGGCCTCTCTGATCCGAACATGAGAAAAACGTTGTCTCAAGTAGGTCGAATCTGTGAGAACTCGGCTATCGGAGGCTGAAATGTCCTGGATTCCCTGGCTCCGCCGTGCCGCCGTCCCCTCGCTCGCCGGTTTTGTGACGGCCGCGCGGTGGCTGCCTCCCTAGATTCCCTCAGGGCCCTTTAAATCCCGCATGTGGACGGTGGGGGGGACACGCCGGGCTGGGAGTTTTCGAGTTGGTTGTGCTGTACTCGGTGAGGGGACACCCAGAGACCCTTGACCCGGGGTCACTCAGCCGCCTTCCTCCTCCTGTCTGCTTGTAGGACCCGGTGCGTATCCATCCCGGGGGAGGGGTCGCCGGCTCTGAGGTGACAGGCCAGGGCCGGCGCAGGGGACACCTCTCCCCCGGCAGCCCGAGCGCCTCCCCCGCCTCTCGGAACTCTGACCTGGGACGGCGGGGTCAGGAGCCGTCGATCCCGGTTCCTTGCTCCCGGCCACCCCTCTGGCCCCCGTCCCCTTGTTTGACCTCGAACCGCCGTCCCGCGTGGAAGCGGGGCGCGGGCGCCCAGTGGCCGCGGGTGTCGGCGGACACGGGCTTCGGGCCCGGGAGGTGGCATGGTCGGGGCGCTTCGCCGCTGTTTACACCCTGCTGGGCTGGTGCCAGCGGCTTCCCCCCGTTAGGGCTCCAGGAGGGGTCACCGCCTCCTCCGCGCCCCCCGGCCCGGCCGGAGTGGGGGACTGAGCCGGCGTGGGGGCCGGGCGGGGCTCGCAGTGTGTGTTTTGGGTTTGTTGCCGGGGTTTCCTTGGCGCTTGTCTCTGCCTCCGCCGTCCCCTCCCTCAAGGGTTTGTTTTGACAGGAAACATGGTCTCCGGGAGGGGAGGGGCTGCCGGAGGCCGTGGGCGGGAGAGTGCTGACTCCAGGTGAGTCCCCTCGGCAGGACCCTCCATTAGGTGGAAGAGGAGGAGAAAGCCTCGTCGGTCTGGGCTCGAACCCTGTCCTCTCAGGGATGGCTTGTGCTTTCCAAAGCTGCTACCGTGGGTGGCACCACTGGGGGTGACTGCGATGATCTGAGGTGGCACGTGGATGAACGTAGTTACGTGTTTTTGTTAGTATTAGGAAAATCTGTTCCATTAAATGTGCGATTTCACAATGACATAAAGTTTCCTTTCGGAGTAAACATATTTAAAATGCCAAAATCTTGTAAAGAAAAGTGCTTCCTAAATTATAGTATAGATAGGGATGGAAACAGTCGTGAAGAGTGGTACTCAAATGACTGAAGTTTGGGGAATCTTAGATGTTTGTCCTGCTCCCATAACCGTAAAGAAACTGGACAGGTTGTCCTTTTCCGCAGCGGGCCTCTCAGGACCCGTGGTCTCCAGGCCAGAGACCTTGCTCTTCCTGTCTGCCAGTCGATAATGAGTTTATCTCCGTGGTTCCCACTTTAGGAGGCTCCCTGTCTGCCCGCAGCTTTTTTCTCTCGTCTCTGGGAATTTCATACATCTCCCTGGCAGCCAGTGGAGGTTGCCTAACTTGAAGAGGCCCAGGGC